GGGTGAAAAAGACATCAGACCTATGCGGGACACCTACGAGGACTTGCCAGTTGGCTGTCGTGAAGGACTCGCCGTCGTCTGCTGGCCAGCGCCGACGCAAGGCTAAAGCTCTTCGCGCGCCCAGTTCTACTCACGCCAGCTCGATCTTTGACTTCCTGGATTAAGAGGAAGCTTTCTTTCTATCGCTCTCAGAAGCCACACGTAATTTATCTCGTTCCTAGGACACTGCGTGCTCTTGTTTGTTCTTCTTCGGAATGCTGCTGGGCTCCTCCAAAACCGCAAAGACGGTTGAGTTCACCGTCCAGCAGCTCGAATGGCAGCATGGCTTCCAGGATGCTGAGCAACGCCAGCGTCTTGTACGCGCTCGAGACGACCCAGAGAGGTTGTCCACCCACAACGACGAGCTCAGCTGTCTGTCGCCGTTCACGTCCCTTGCTGTCGTCTGTACTGCTCCACTATGGAAAGAGGTGTGCGTCTCCCGTGGAAATGTTGTCTCCTGTATCGGTCGGCACCTTCTCGCGCAAGAACAACGCGTTCGGGTCGTCCACTTTGAGCTGGAGTGGCGATTTCCCCGATGGACGTTCGGGTTAAGTCTCCGAGATAGCGACACATCGCAGACGGTCGAGCGCCAAGGAATAGCAGAGGTTTCGACTGTTGTCTCGTTGCAGCTGACGTTCTAGTGTCTTCGTACGCTCAAGACGTCAAGCTTTCGGGCTATTTCGATACGTCTCGAGGTGTAGAGTGCAGAATGCCGCGAGATCGTCGACACTGCGTTGGTTAACGTTGTCAGTTAAGTGTTTGGTCCACGTGACGGCGTCTTCGTTACCTTCAAGCTCCAACTGTCGTTCTACCAGACACGCCACATCGAGCTGCATGCAGGTGAGTAGTAAACTAGTGTGAGGAACTTGCTCGAGCAGGTGGGATGATTAATGTGGCGTACGTTGTCGTGGGAGATGAGGAGCTTTGGATATTCCCCTGGCGAGTGAAGCGAAAGTCATGCAACTTGAAGGTGTCGACGCGTGTGGCTGCTCCCTCATCTGTTGCCAGACCGATCGCTGTAATTTTGAGTAACTAGCGCCATAGTGTCAAGCTCACGTACTGCTCGAGAGGGGTTATGTTGTAGATGCGTCGGGAGTGAAATGCTCTTTAGTCAGCAGCCTTTGATAGAGCAAACTGTCGGCTACCGTGTGCTAGGTAGACATCGTGGCATCACCGAAGGGCATGTCTAGAACGGCTAGTTTCGCGTAGCGAACCAGTTAGGCAATTGTCAGTGAGACACTACAAACAGCACCATAGTTTCCAACGGGTAATTCACGGCGGGTACCCGGCTGTCGAATGCAAAGTGAAGACTTGAACCGTGTAGATCCAACCAATGCGTGGTGTCGATCTGCACACCTGCCGAAGAAGTTGAGGAGCATTCGACAGTATCTTCGCAGTGCACCTAGTGGTAAAGCGTATTATCTTCTCCCTCTTTCTCGGTTCATGTCCAGAAGCAGAATTCCCATTTGATCCGACTAAAGATATGTGACCCGACACTAAAGCGGCGCTTCAGCAAGACCCAAGACACGTGCGCAATGGCGCTTCACGATCAAGTAGATTGGCGAAGTCTCAAGGATTCGTTAGCATTAGATGTCTGTCTTATCGAGTCTGTCTTTTACAACCTTTCCATCGTGTACACCACACGACAACGTGACCGGGAGCTGCGGCTACATCCTGAGTCCAGCAACCATACAGGAGACCAACATTGCAACCAGTTGGATGAAAAACGGTTTGCCAAAGTGGATGTGCTTGTAGCGCTAGAAAAGACAGCGGGGTATCTCGAGAAGCGTCCGTGGCTGCGTGTTCTTCACACTCGACTCGCCTGCGTGTCATTTGAGAAGGAAGGAGCGAGTTTACGCGACTTCGTTCGGTCTCGTCAACGAGACCGCACAGTGAGTCTACGTGACGTCAGACGTCGACTTGAAGCCATTTACGCTGATGCCAAACTCTCGACAGAAGTTGAAGAGAGACACAAGAACTTCGTCGCGCAGGCTCGAGCTGTGTCTCCGTGGTGTGTTCGAAATCCAAAGTGGCTACATTCGTCTCCAGCTCGACAGCTCTACGGTGTTCATATACTACCCCCACGTCGTGTGACGGAGGAAGAGCTGCAAGCCCAACGTGAGTGTGTGGCGAGCCACGCGCGCGCAGTTGTCAGTGCTGCTGTGGGTGTCGTTATGGACAAGATGTTAGCACCTTATCTAACGCGACCAAAGACAACAGAGAGATGCACGGGGCGACGTCTTGCTGTCGACTCTGCAAGAGCGAGTCCAGTTCTGCGTCATAAGAAAAGCAAACGCGAACAAGCCGAGCGTGACGATCAGCTGCGAGCGCTGAGACTGGAACTTCTAGCGCCCACAGCTGATCTCGTCAATACTGAAGCCGAAGCTACGAAGAAGAAGAGTAAGGACGAAATTGCTCGAGTGATGA